AAACCAAAGCTAGAAGCCTCATGATACCAAAGTTCAAGACATAGTACAGAAGTCACTGTTACAATTTAATGGATTAAGCCTCTGCCTGCAAACCCAGCATCCCATATGGGTGTCAATTCAAGTCCCAGCACCTTGGAAAACACTGGAAGATGACCCATTAGCCCTATACCCATGTGGAAGATCCACTTGAAACTCCTGGCTCCTGACCTCAGCCTGGCCATGCCCTGACCTTGACAGTCATTTGGGGAGTGAATCAGTGGATGGAAGATCTCTCTCTCTCTCCTTCTCTCTCTCTCTCTCTCTCTCTCTGTAACTCTGTCTTTTAAATAAATGCAATAAATTTTTAAAAATACTACAGGGCAGTTATAATAAAAACAACCTGATCTCAGCACAAAAATAAACACATGGGCCTATGGAACAAAATAGAAATCCCAGTAATTAATCAATGCATCTACAACCAACTAACTTTTGACAAACTAGCTAAAATCACTTCCTGGAAAAAGGGCAGTCCCTTAATGAATGGTTCTTGGAAAACTGGATATCTGCAGGTTGAAGTATAAAAAAAGACCCCTACCTTTCATTGTATACAAAAATCAACTTACAGTGGAATAAAGACCAAAACCAAAAACCTGAAACCATCAAATGGTAATCATAGGGAAAACACTGCAAGGTGTTGGCAAAGGAAAGAATTCTTGGCTAAGATCCCAGAAACACAGGCAATTAATGCAAAAATAGACAAATGACTTTACATCAAGCTAAGCGGCTTCTGCACAGCAAAGGAAATATTCAACAAAGTTAAGAATCAACCAACAGAATAGGACAAAATATTTGCAAACAATGTATACATACATACTTACATACATACATACAGGGACATATAAGGAGCTCAAAAAATTTAACAACAAAGAAATAAAAAATCCAGTTAAGAAATGGGCAAAAGGCATGAACAAGCATTTTTCAAAGGAAGAAATACAAATGGCCACCAGACACATGAAAAAAAAAAACTCTCAGGGTCACTAGCCATCAAGGAAATGTAATTAAAAATCACAGTGAGGTTTCATCTTATCCCAGGTAAAATGGCTATCATCCAAATATCAAAAAATAAGAACTGATAGACATGATGTGGAGAAAAAGGTACCCTATTATGCTGTTTGTGGGAATGTAAACTAGTACAACCGTTATGGAAGGCAGTATGGAAATACCTCAGAAACCTCAAAATAAATTTACCATATGACCCAGCCATCACACTCCTGGAAATATAACCAAAGGAAATAAGTTCAGTATATGAAAGAGTTACCTTTATTCCCCAATAGCTAAGTTATGGAATTAACCCAGATGTCCATCAACTGATGACTTGCTAAAGAAATAATGGAATACTACCAATAATAAAAAATGAAATTCTGTCTCTTGCAGTAAAATGGAGGCTACTGGAGACCATTATACTTAGTGAAATAAGCCTAAAAGACAAATATTAGCTATAGCTAATATATAGAATACAAAATCAAAGGTTAATGTTTTTTGAACTAAATTGACATCTTGTGATTTGATTGTTGTCTATAACACTTCTCTGTACATCTGCAGAAGGGTGATCTATTTACCTTTCACTTGTAGGGTTCTTTGGTTAGAGGAACATTGAGCCCGTATTTATAAAGTAAATTGAAAATATCACAAAAAAGTGGGAAGAAAGGAAGGAGGGAAGGAGAAAATGTTGTGTTCCTGGAATCATATTGACAAAATTCATGAAATCTATACTTTATGTATTAACAAATGTAAGAACTAAAAAAGAGAGATACTGGCTTTGACTTATGAATGGGTCATTGACAATATATTTGGTGGATGAATCATATATATTACTATCACCATAAGACAAGTATCAATTAGCACACACAATATGTGTTATGCAAGAGAAAATATCAGGTCACAATAAATGCCAGCCTTAGGATGATCAGATAGCTTACAGTATTTCCACAATGCAGTATGATTCCTTTCTCTTAAATAAAATTTGTAGTCTGGAGGGTGACAAATCAGGAAAACATCTGTAAAACATGAACTTTCACTATTTGAATTGCAGTGACACATGAACATTGTATGGGTTCCAATTTCTTCAGACAGTATCTTTGACTTAATCATCTTTCTGGACATTCCCAATATGATATACAGCAGTCCACGGCCTTATGTCTTAATTATTTAATATTTATACTACATTTCTTTCAGAAAGACATTTTAGAAGAAGCCCTAGCATAAACTGTTGTAGTATTGATTGCATTCAAAGGCATGGAGATCCTGTAAAGATCCAGAGGCACATGTGCAACGTGGCTTCTACACTGATAATTACAACAACTTATGATCAGAGAAGTCCTAGGAAAAGGCATGAAAAGGGGGCCAGTGTTGTGGCACACCTGATTAAGAAATTGCTTATGACGCTGCCATCCCACATAAAGCACCAGTTAGAAAACCAGCTGATCCACTTGCAGTTCGTATGAAAGCAGCCGTTGACAGCATATGCCAATCCTGTAGGAAACCCAGGTGGAGAACCTGGCTCCTGACTTTGCTCTGGCCCAGACCTGGCTGCTCCAGGCACCTGAGGAGAGAACCTTTAGGTAGAAGATGTCTCTCTCGCTCTCACTAGCTCATCATGCTCCCTCTTATGCCTGCTCTCACACGGTCACCATCACTCTCTCTCTGTCTATCCATCTCTCTGTTCCTCTACCTATCAAATAAATAAATGTCTTAAAAAAATAACCAGAAAATGCAAGAAGACTTATCCGTGAATCGAAGTCTCAGTATGATGAAGATGTCAAAATTAATTGTTAATACGATGCAATAAAAATAAGAATTGCAGGAACGGGGCATAAGGGACTGACGGTACTAAAAAACTGACCTAAATTTGTATGAAAATACAAATCGCTAAAATAATAGCCAATGCCATTTCAATTGAGAAAATGAAATCAGGAAAGTATTCACTTACTAAATATCATCTTACTAAAAAATGTAAGTAATTAAGCAATGCAGTATGGATACCAAGATGGATGAACTGACCTATAAGAGTAAAACAAAAGATACTGTTTCAGAATAAGTTCAGATCAAAGTATAAAATGTTTTTATTTTTTCATGAAGCTCTCTTAACAAAGCTTAAATGAAGTGTCTAAAGCATTCAAAGGTTTCTTTAACAAGACAAAATTAATTAAAAGGAAAACATAGCTAAAGGCATCATTTCATGATTAGAAATCACTGAGTGGACTCTTGGGGTTCTAGAAAAATGTACTAGGCATCCTTCACTAAAATCTGAATATTGTTTAAAAATATAGCACTCTAAGGTCTGGTGCTGTGGTGCCCTAGGCTAAGCCTCTGCCTGTGGTGCCAGCATCCCATATGGGCACTGGTTTGTGTCCTGACTGCTCCTCTTCTGATCCACCTCTCTGCTAATGACCTGGGAAAGCAATGGAAGATAGCTCAAGTTCTTGGGACCCTGCACCTGTATGGGAGACCCAGAAGAAGCCCCTGGCTCCTGACTTCAGATTGGCTCAGCTCCAGCTGTTTCAGCCATTTGGGGAGTGAAGCCTCAGATGGAAGGTCTCTCTCTGTCTCTGTAACTCTAGCTCTCAAATAAATAAATCTTTAAAAAATAAGACTCTAAAGATTAGAGAGAAAAAAGGAAGACTAGCAAGAGACCTTGGACTCAAGGAGCAACATAGTGGTGAATTTTCTTTAATGTTTGTCCTACAAATTCCAAAGGGTGTGCCAGAGAGACTAGCAACTCAAAAAATGTTTAACACTTTAAGGTCTGGTGCTGTGGTGCACTAGGCTAAGCCTCTGCCTGCAGTGCCGGCATCCCATATGGGCACGGGTTTGAGACCTAGCTGCTCCACTTCCAATCCAGCTCTCTGCTATGGCTTGGGGAAGCAGTACAAGATGGCCGAAGTTCTTGGGCCCCTGTACTCACGTGGGTCAACCAGAGGAAGCTCTTGGCTCCTGACTTTTGATTGGCGCAGCTCTGGCCGTTGCAGCAAGTTGGGAGTGAACCAGCAGATGGAAGACCTTTCTCTCTCTCTCTCTCTCTCTCTCTCTCTCTGTGCCTCTCCTTCTCTCTGTGTATAACTCTGCATTTCAAATAAATAAATAAATCTTGAAAAAAAAGTTGAAAAAGTTGGGAAAATCTTTAAAATGACAGTATTGGTTTGTAGCCTTAATTGTTTAGATGTGTGAGAAAAGCAGCTGCTAAATTTAGAATTGTTTCTGTCAACGTATTTAAACATGTAAATTGAATGATATGTAAAAATAAAGTTGAAGGTTTGGTATGGGTATATATAACAATGCATAAAAAGTGTTAATGCAAACCCTAGTCATTACAAATGATTTGTTATTTTAATAATATTTATTTACTTATTATTTGAAAGAGTTACAGAAAGAGAGATGGAGAGAGAGAGAGAGACAGAGAGAGAGAGATTTTCCATCAACCGGTTCATGCCCCAGACAGCTGCAACGGCTAAGGTTAGGCCAGGCTGAAGCCAGGAGCCAGGAGTTTCACCCGGGTCTCCTGCATTGGTAACAGGAACCCAGATACATGTGACAGCTTCCGATGTTTCTCCCATGCCATTAACAGTGAGCTGGATTGATGTGGAGCAGCCTGGACATAAATGGCACACGTAGAGGGATGCTGGTGTCGCAGGTGAAAGCTTCATCCACTACACCACAACGCCAGCCCCTACATTTCTTCTTCAACCAATTAATAACACTAAATCTATAGTTCTACTCCTTCAAGGAGAAAATAGCATCGCATTTGAATTATTTAATATTTCATAAAGAAACAAGATTCCATTTTAATGTTGATAATAAATCCAAGTTCTAGTTGTAGTTTGAATTGATTAAATGAAATACTGATTTGTCTGTTGTGTATATCACCCCTGTAATGTGATTCTTGTATCAACTACGAGTTTCAATACTTGACATTTTTGCTGCTGTTTGCTTCTTTAACATATTTAACTTTAACATCCCTGTAGATCTGTATTGGTGTGAACTGCAAACATTTTTCTCAGCTACCTAACAAACCACAATGTAATGCCAGAGTGAAATGTAATGGACATGGGGTACGTGACCTTTATATTGTTTTTAATTATAATGCTTGTCAGTAACATTTGCCAGGATAAGAATGGTTAGAAGTATTTGATGCAGAAATTTCTTTCGGAAAAGTTAGGGTTAAATTCAGAAAGTAGATTTAGTTATTGCTATCCGTGCATATCATTTAAATGTGTCTCATATTAATAGTGTGTGCAGAACCTAAACACCTTGTAATTGTGTACAAAATGTTATAAAACATTTGTTAGTAGTATGATAAATTAAGATATCGAATTTCAGAAATGGATTTGTAAGAATTACCCTCATGCTGTACATTTAAACATATATGTAATATTCTTTGTACTTGAGTGTAGTTTTACTTACATATGCACTTATGAGCACTCAACACAATGTATTCATATTATACATATGTATACAATCTAGTAGGTTATGGGGTCAGAATTTCCTGTCCACTCAGATCTGTTGCATCTTCTGACACATTAAATTTATGTGCCAGTATGAATCTTCTATGAAAACTTATTTACTTTTAGCCTTTGAAATAATGTTAAATTTTAACCATTTCCAATAATCATACAAGAGACATTGCTATGTAAACCCCCTGGTACATTGATCTGCTTTCTTAAATTTCAGTAATACATTCTATTTGAATAGTAAGCCATTGCAAAAAAATTAAAAGAAAAATAAGAAAGGAAAAGGTAGGGAGGATGGGAGCCAGGGAGGAGTAAAGAAATCAGGGTTTGAAGAGTCTCAGGTTTAGATTCTTTAAGAAACACAACTTCAGCTTTTTCCTCCCACCTGTCATATCAGACAATGAGAATCTCCCCTCATTCTGGCTTCTTTTAACATGCTCACTGCAGTGATAACTGGCATTCACGTAGGAACCGATGACACAGCTCTGAAGAAGGTGTGTTCGTGTTGGCCACTTGCCTTTCTGCTGTGTGGCATCAGCAAATCCTCTGCTGATTACGGAGCCTCTGTAAACTCGGTGCTTGCCATCGTGCCGTTGGCTTCAGTGTGCGTCCCAGTGACTTCTGCTGCATGGGCGCTTCCGTGGGTTACACAGCAATTCAGGATGAAGGGACGTTTTCCACAAAAGCACTCGCATACACTGCTGTTTCTAGTTTCGTTGCTCTCTCTTTCCTTTCGTATTTAGCTGCTGTGTGACTTTACTTCTTTCTGCCACCGACGGTTCTCTGTATTCACTCAGTGATCACATTTGCAGATATTTGCTAACTTTCCGTTTACATTTTGGCTACCTGTATCTGATTATTCAGGCTTCTTTCTACCTTTAGTTTTTGGCCCCCGTTCATTGTAAAGTTGGAGCTAATCATGTTCTACCTAGACACTTGTGAATTTTTACTTATTTATTTGTTTACTTAACAATGAGGGAGGCCAGCGCCGCGGCTCACTTGGCTAATCCTCCACCTGCGGCGCCGGCACACCGGGTTCTAGTCCCGGTCGGGGCGCCGGATTCTGTCCCGGTTGCCCCTCTTCCAGGCCAGCTCTCTGCTATGGCCAGGGAGTGCAGTGGAGGATGGCCCAAGTCCTTGGGCCCTGCACCCCATGGGAGACCAGGAGAAGCACCTGGCTCCTGGCTTCGGATCGGCACAGCGCGCTGGCCGTAGCAGCCACTTTGGGGGTGAACCAACAGAAAAAGGAAGACTTTTCTCTCTGTCTCTCCTTCTCTTTCTCACTGTCTAACTCTGCCTGTCAAAAAAATAAATAAAAATAAATAAGTAGAATAAAATAAAATAAAAGAATCAGGAAGTGAGACAGAAAAAAAGAAACAGATTGATAGCAAGAGTGCCCATCTCAAATGCCCACAGCAGTCAGGGATGGGCCACGCTGGAACAGGCAGCCTGGAATGTGGGCAGCTAGACCCCAAGGACGGGAGCCATTGTTGCTGCCTTCCAGGGCTTTGATTAGCAGGAAGATGGAATCAGGAGCTGGGGGCACCTGTGAATCCCAGTCACTCATGTAAGGTGCACATGTCGCTACCAGCATCATAACCACTAGGCCAAACAGTTAGGATATCTGAGTGTCTAGGATATCTGAGAAGACACTGCATTCGCACTTGTCATATTACTTTTCATTTGAAACCATTTCCGTATTAACTTACCATTTCTATATGAAGTCACAGTATTTTAACAACTTGCATTCTCTAACAAGCATTTGTTTTTATGTTGCATGTGTAGCTATTCTTCTTCTTTTGGTTTTAGATTTGCAATGAAAGACTCAACTGTCATTGTGATCCTGGATTTGCACCTCCTAATTGTGAGAGAGTTGCATTTTCTCCAGGTGGAAGTACCGATGATGGGTTTTGGCTCCCGGCAAGTGAGTCTCTAGGTGATTCTGTTCCAACACTATTGTGCTTCTTTTTTAAAAAAATTTATTTATTTATTTATTTATTTATTTATTTGAAAGGTAGAGTTACAGAGAGGCAGGGGCAGAAAGAGAGAGAGAGAGAGAGAGAGAGAGAGAGAGAGAGAGAGCTCTTCCATCCACTGTTTCATTCCCCAGTTGGCCGCCATGGCCAGAGCTGCACTGATCCAAAGCCAGGAGCCAGGAGCTTCCTCTGGGTCTTCCCACGCAGGTTCAGAGACCCAAGTGGATGGAAGACCTCTCTCTCAGCCTCTTCTTCTGTCTCTGTGTAACTCTGACTTCCAAATGAATAAATAAATAAATCTTAAAAAAAAAAAGATGGGATTTCATCCTTTCCTAAGGATGATGAATGGTATTCCACTGTGTATATACAAGCCATTTTCTCTATCCATCCATCTGCTAATGGACACCGGGGTAGACTCCATATCTTGGCTAATTGCAAACAATGCTGTGATACATATGGATGTGCAGAAGCCTTATGAACTGACTTAATTTCCTCTGATACTTACCAAGTAGTGGGCATGCTGAAACCCACAGTAATTCTGTTTTTGCTTTGTTGAGACATGGCCATGCAATGGATATAGCAATTTACCTTCCCCAACTGTGTGTCAAGGCCCCTTTTTCCCACACCCTCACCACCACTTGTTATCATTTGATTTTCTGACAATAGCCATCCAAACTCAAGTGAAGTGGTATGTCACTCACCTTCTGATTTTTGTCTCCCTGGTGATCAAAAATGCAGACCATGTCTTCATGTGTTTATTGTATATTGGTTAGCTTTCTTTTGGGATATGTCTGTTAAGGCGGTTTGCTCATTTTTTAATCACACTACCTGATTGTGTTCCGTTTTGTTTTGGCTTGTTTCAGTTCCTTACATATTTGGATATCATTTATGTGGTTGAAAAATACCTTTTTGGCATATAACTTATTGTTCATAATGTTCTGCCAGGATCATTTTGTGATGTAAAATAATGTCTCTTTCTTCATTTATCGTTTTATTTATTTGGGTCTCTGTTCTTTCATCTTAGTCTAAAGAATGATTTGCCCACTTTATATCTTTGTCAGAAATTTAAGGTATTGTTTTGCTGTTCTTTTGCATTTTTGTGTCTTTCTGTTCTGATCTTTGTAATTTCCTGTCTTCTATTAACTTTTTCTTTAGTTTTTTCTTGCTTTCCTATTTCCTTGATATAAATATAAAATTGCTTATTTGAGGCCACTCTTCCTTTATGATACACGTTTTGATTGGCATAACTTCCCAATGAGAACAGCTTTTGCTGCATCCCTTAAGTTTTAGTATGTTGTGTTTTCATTATCATTGGTTTCAAGAAATTTGTTGTTTCCTCTGTTTTCATTGACTAGCTGATTCTTGGGGAGCAATTACGCAAGACATGATTTCTATGTCTTGCATCAAGTTTTCAAGGTCCCTCCTGCTAATGAATTGTAGTTTTGTGCTGCTGTGTTTATAAAAGAGAGTTGGGGCCGGCGCCGCGGCTCACTAGGCTAATCCTCCGCCTAGCGGCGCTGGCACACCGGGTTCTAGTCCCGGTCGGGGCGCCGGATTCTGTCCTGGTTGCCCCTGTTCCAGGCCAGCTCTCTGCTGTGGCCAGGGAGTGCAGTGGAGGATGGCCCAGGTGCTTGGGCCCTGCACCCCATGGGAGACCAGGAAAAGCACCTGGCTCCTGGCTCCTGCCATCGGATCAGCGCAGTGCGCCGGCCGCAGCGCGCTGGCCGCAGGGGCCATTGGAGGGTGAACCAACGGCAAAAGGAAGACCTTTCTCTCTGTCTCTCTCTCTCACTGTCCACTCTGCCTGTCAAAAAATAAATAAAAAATAAAAATAAAAGAGAGTTGGAATTATTTTTGTCTTCATAAATTTTTAAGACATGCTTCATGACCAAATGTAGAATCAATCCTGGCAATGTTCCTTGTGCCATAGAATAGAAATAAGTATTATGTTGCTGTTGGATAAAATGTTCTGTAATTCCTGTTAGGTCCATTAGGGCAGACATAAAGCCTACACCCATTGTTTACTTGTTGACTTTCTGTTTTGGTGACCTATTCATTTTTGAAACTGGGATATTGAATTTCCCCATTTCTTACTGGCTGTGCTGTCTACCTCTATCTATCTATCTCTATCTATCTCTATCTCTATATATCTCTATATCTAATATTGGGTGTCTATACTAAGTGCTGTGGTAATGGTACATGCGTCTACAACCGTGAGCTGATCTCGTGGAGCCGACGCTGTGTTCGTCTGTCTTGCACAGTCTTGACACACAGTCTAATCTGTGACATTGTGCAATAGCTGCTCACACTGTCTTTTGGATTTACGTCAGTTTGGAGGATCCTTTTGTAAGTTCCTTTGCTTTCAGCCTGTTGGCGTCTACACAGCTGAACAGTCACTGCTCGGCAAGTAGATTTCTGGTTCCCAGCTCCTTTATTCAGTCTACTTAACATTGATTCATTGAGGCTGTTTACATACAGAATTATAGATAAGTAAGATGTAGAACTGTCATTTAAAAGTGGTTTATTGTTTTGAGTATCTGTTGCTTCTTCCAAGTGGTTATTATAATTTCACATATTTGACTGCAGGACCCTTTAAACATCTTCGGTTAAACCAGTCTCGTGGTGTTTGATTTCTCCAAATTTTGCTTTCCTTGTAATATCTTTGTTCCCCTTCATTTGCAAAAGATAACTTGTCCAGGTAAAGTAGTCTGCATTTGCATTTGCTTTCTTGAATAACCATGGCTGTATCATTCTACTCCTTCCAGACCTCTGCAAGATTTCTAAAAGCCTGCTGTTAGGGACCAGCACAGTGGCATGGGCAGGTAAAGCCGCTGCCTCACTGCCGGCATCCCACTTGGGCTGCTCAACTTCCGATCAAGCTATGGTCTGGGAAAGCAGTAGAAGATAGCCCAGGTCCTTGGGCCCCTGCACCCATGTGATAGACCATGAAGAAGCTCCTGGCTTCAGATCAGCCCAGCACTGGTTGTTGCAGCCCCTTGGGGAGTGAACCAGTGGATGGACAACCTCTCTCTCTCTCTTTCTGCCTCTGTAACTCTGCCTTTCAAATAAATATTTTTAAAAAAAAATCCCTGCTGTTATTTTAATAATGCTCTGCTTAATAGTGACTAGGCACTTTTCTGTTGAGGATTTTAAAATTTTTTCTGTGTCCTGAATTTTTGAGAGTTGCACATTAATGTGTTGTGGTGAAGACTTTTTCTCATCATGTTTATTTGGGATCCTGTGAGCCTCCTGTGTTTGAGCAAATGTATCTTTTCCAGATTAGGGGAGTTTCCAGCTATTTGATTGAACGGATTCTTTGTGCCGTCACTGCTCTCTCATCTTTCTGGGATTTCCACATCTCAAATATTTCTTCATTTAACCATGCCCAAGGTCACCTGTTTTCAGGTTGTCTTCATCTCTTTCATTTTTACTGTGGTTTTTTTTTTTTTTTTTTTTTTTTTTTTTTTTTTGTCTCACTGTGATGTTTCAAGTGACTTAGCTTGAATTTCAGATATCTTTTTCATGTTTGATCATGTATCTTGTTAGAGGCTTTGAACTGATTTTGCTTTTCAATTTGATTTATTGAGTTCTTCATTTCCAACATTTCTGATTAGTTTTTTTCAAGATCTCTATCTCTGATGAATTTGCCATTTACACCACATATTTTTCTTATGGTTTCCTTTTAAGTGTCTTTCTGTACTATCATCTATCTCCTCAAACATCCTTGTACTCACTCTTTTGAATTCTGTATCAAGTATGTCATTGATATCTTTTTCTTTGGAATTCGTTTACAGAAAGTTATTGGAGGCCGGCGCCGCGGCTCACTAGGCTAATCCTCCGCCTAGCGGCGCCGGCACACCGGGTTCTAGTCCCGGTCGGGGCGCCGGATTCTGTCCCGGTTGCCCCTCTTCCAGGCCAGCCCTCTGCTGTGGCCAGGGAGTGCAGTGGAGGATGGCCCAAGTGCTTGGGCCCTGCACCCCATGGGAGACCAGGAAAAGCACCTGGCTCCTGGCTCCTGCCATCGGATCAGCGCGGTGCGCCGGCCGCAGCGCACCGGCCGCGGCGGCCATTGGAGGGTGAACCAACGGCAAAGGAAGACCTTTCTCTCTGTCTCTCTCTCTCTCACTGTCCACTCTGCCTGTCAAAAAAAAAAAAAAAAAAAAAAAAAAAAAAAAAAAAAAAAAGAAAGTTATTGGGTTTCTTCGGAGGCATAATGTTACCGTGCTATGTTCTGCTACTTGCAACCCTATCTCAAGATCTGCCCATGTGGCAGATCAGTTCCCTCTCTCTCTCTCTCTCTCTCTCTCTCTCCTGGCAATCTGCTTTCTCTTGGATATGTGAGGTGACGTGTTGGTGTGGTAGTCCATGTAGTGTCTGACTTCATTTGGATTCCACAGTCTAGTTTTTCTATCATTTCTTTGGCTATATCCAGGGCCTGACATGACAACCAGGGAGACACACAGTTCCCAGCAGTCATGTGAGCATGTCTCAGAATGCTGTGCACACGATGCTGAATGAGAGGGATGTCCACTGTGAGGACATTCTGGTAATGAAGGTGACAGCATTATTTCTTATGCAATGTGCAACAGCAGCCCCAAGCAGCCCCAGTGCCAAGGTGGATAGCTGTCATGCTCCTCCGTTCCACGGGCAGGATGGGCACAGGAACAGTTGGCCTGGGGCTAGGGAGAGGAATCCTAGCAGAGGGACAAACGCAGCTGCTTGCGGTGGTAAGTGGGATCACAGCACTCTCCTACTGCTACCCACTCTCAATCCCCGACAGTGTCAACGAAAAAGCAAAAAGAGGTGGGTGAAACAACAGTCCTCACTCTCAGCGCCTGTTCTCAGTCCCTGGCCAAGACAGCTGAAAAGCACTGGCCCAGGGGGAAGGGATGGGCAAGGCTGCAGTTCTGCCTCTGGGCAACCATCCTCATTCCACAGCAGAGGCCAGAGACAGTGACTCAGATGTATTTTTTTATTCTTTGTTTCTTTGTCTTAGTGCATCTTATATTACATCTTTGGTTTTTCAGTGCCACTATGATTTACCAAAGTGTGGTTTTCTTTTTAGTTTAGTCTGCATGGATTTGCTTATAGTCTTAAATGAAGACTTGCAGATATTTTGGGATGAGCTTGAAAAAATTCTTAGCTTTTGGTTTCTTTTTAAAATATTTATTTATTTATTTGAAAGGCAGTTACAGAGAATAGATTGTGTATGTGTGTGTGTGTGTGTGTGTGTGTGTGAGAGAGAGAGAGAGAGAGAGAGAGAGGAATCTTCCTTCCACAGGTTTACTCCTCAAATGGTCTTATCAGCAGTGGCTGGATAAAGCCAAATCCAGGAGCCAGGATCTTCCATGTGGCTGGCAAAGGCTCAAACTCTTGGGCCAATTTCAGCTGCCTTCCCAGGCACATTGGCAGCGAGCTGGATGAGAAGCAGGGCAGCCGGGTCCACACAGGTACCTATTTGGGATTTTGGGATCACAGGCAGAGACTTACTCTTTGCACCATAATGCCTGCCCGTTTTTTATTCTTACTTTTTGTTAAACACATTACATTTCCAATAATTTGTACACAGCAGCATTCACTCTTTGGAATAGAATTCCACAGCTATTGAAACATGGACAGACTCACATTTCTACCACAGTGATCCTGATGCAGAATAGATCTGTCACCCACGTCATCCCCATCACTCTGCCAGTCCTTAACTCTGTGTTGTTGCTAGAAGCCTTCCAACGAAAGTGTGTCTTATACCTCACCTATCCAGTCACTCACGGAAAGATATTTGAGTTGTTGCTAGGTTTTCACCGTAGTGAATAAGCCTACTATAAACATGCACACGGGCCTTAGCGTATCTATAAGTTTTGTGGATAAATGCCCAAGAAGGAGAGTGCTGTCTCATTTTGAATTGTCTAAGGAAAAGCTAAACTATTTTTCAAATTGCCTGTGTGTTACCTTTGTTTCGTTATGAGCAGTAACTTTGCAGTCAGTCCACACATCCACCATCACACAATATTGTCAGTTTTGGTTTTGTTGGGCTTGAGCTTCGCTTTGCAAAGCTTTAGATGCCCAGTGATATCCTATTAGGGCTTTTATTTTAACCTTTTATGTCAAAGTAATTATGGATTCACAAAGTGTTACAAAGGCCCATAGACAGAAATTCTATGCAATCTTCACCCAGCCTCCACCAATGGCAAAACGTTGCAAGTCTGTCCTGTAATATCCCATCTAGGAAAGAGATACCGAGAAAATACATAGACCTTAATCAGATTTCACCACTATGTATGCACTCATCTGTGTGCGTGTGCATGGGTGTACGTGTTTTGTGCAATTTTGTCATGTTCAGACTCACGTCACCGCCACCGCAATCATGATACGCAACTGTGCGACCACTCCACGGGTGCCTACCATTACCACTTTGTAAATACATTGACTCATTTTTCCTCTTTGCCAACTCCTGGCAACCACTAAATTGTTCTTCATTTCTTCAATTGTGTGATCTCATGAATCTTATATAAATAGAATTATAGAGTTTTTCTGTAAGCGGAGCTCCCACAGACACTCAGCAGAATTTCTGTAACCTACATATAAGTCATTACATTATCAGCATTCATTCATTTTTGTTTTAATTTTTTGACAGACAGAGTGGACAGTGAGAGAGAGAGACAGAGAGAAAGGTTTTCCTTTGCCATTGGTTCACCCTCCAATGGCCGCCGCAGCTGGCGCTGATCCGAAGCCAGGAGCCAGGTGCTTCTCCTGGTCTCCCATGGGGTGCAGGGCCCAAGCACTTGGGCCATCCTCCACTGCACTCCCTGGCCACAGCAGAGAGCTGGCCTGGAAGAGGGGCAACCAGGACAGAATCCTGCGCCCCGACCGGGACTAGAACCCGGTGTGTGGGTGCCACAAGGTGGAGGATTAGCCTAGTGAGCCGCGGCGCCGGCCACATTCATTCATTTTTGTTTTGCATAAGTACATTGTAATTTGTTAACTGTTCACACTGTGAAGGACATTTGGATGGCTATCAGTTTTTATCTATTATGACTAAGTCTGGGATGACTATTCATACAGAAGATTGTACTTGAAACTTATATTTTAATTCTTTATGATGTGTGGCCATAACTAAAATTACTAGGTCATATTTTTAAGCTGATTATTGTTTTTAAAGCAATGGTCAGTTTCTAGTGTCTGTACCGTTTGACACTGGCACCCATAATATATGTATGGTCCTTTTTTTTTTTTTTTTGCATTTTTACTACCAATCCATGGCACAACTTTTTTTCATTTTCTTTCCTCCTTCCTCTTTTTTATAAATTTGTTAATTCTGATAGCTGTGTATTGATATCTCACTGCAGTTATAGAGTTCATTTTCCTGTGCATAATATTATTGTTAAGCATTTTTACAGTTTTTATTTGGCTGTAAGAGCACTTTAGTGCTCTTATGTGCTCAGATCTTATGTTACTTCCTAATCGAGTTGATGACATTTGTGTTTTTTTAATGTTGAGTTTTGAGAGATTTCCTGTAGTACATAACTTTGTTGGATGTGTCATTTGTACATATTTTGTCCAAGTCTGTGACCAAGAGTTTTTGTTTGTAATTTGAACTTTCCACTTTATTTCCATATCAAATACTGCTTTGTGTTCAAGTTTATGTACTCTTTGTCCTAGCAGTTGAAGATTTTCTGCTGTTATACTGAAAGTGATAGGTTTATGCTTTGCATGTAAGTCCATAACACACTAGCAATTAATTTTTATAAGAAATGGGAACTCTTAGGATTAAGTATTTTTTTCTTTTTAATTTTTAACTGTTATTGATACAATGAGAACAGATTTCATTTATCCCATAGGTACAAATCTAAGAAGACAACCATGCTTCCCACCCTCGCTATCCCCCGACCTCTTCTCCCTCTTTCCTTTCTTTCTTTTTCTTTAATTTTTGTGAAAACTTTAGTTCAGCCCACTCTATATTCATAGGATTAATGTACCACTAACCATGATATTCAACAAGCGAAAGCAGAAAGATCACAGTTCCACAAGAGTGTAAATAAGGATTAAAAACAATTTCGAGGGGACAAAGAATGGTCTTTTGACAAAATTTGTGGAGACAACTGGGTATCCACAGGCAAAAGAAAGAAGATGGATCTCTACAGCACACCATTCTCAAAAAGTAACTGAAAATGGATCGAAATTCAGTATCTAAAGCTCTAAAAATTGTTAGAAGAACACAATTTTGTGGACTGAGCATAGGTCATGTATAGAAGAGACTAAGACAAGGGTGAGATAAGAAAACAGTAGATGAATTCAACTTTAACAAAATTAGAAACTTTTGCAGTGCAAATTTTACAAATCAAGAAGTGAAAGGCAAATTACAACAAGGGAGAAAATATTTGCAAATAGGATGTCCAATGTGGGAACTGGATCCAGCACATATTAAAAAAAAAATTCTAAGTAAATAATCAAAAGTCAACTCAATTAAAAATGGAAAGTAGTGGGTCAGACCTATATTCCAGCACCTGGAACACTCATGTCTCTACAATCCTGCTTTCACTCCTAATTGAAGCTTCCTAGCAATGCAGACCCTGGGAGGCAGCAGGTGATAGGTCATCTAGTTGGGTCCCTACTACCCATATGGAAAACCTGGTTGCATTCCTGATTTCCAGCTTCAGACTGGCCTAGTCCCAACCATTTCAGGTATCTGGGGAGTAAACCGCAGATGAGATTCTCTCCCTGCCCTTGCTCTCTGGTTTTAAAATAAATATTCTTTTTTTTTTTTTTTTTTTTTTTTTTTTTTGACAGACAGAGTGGACAGTGAGAGAGAGAGAGAAAGGTCTTCCTTTTGCCGTTGGTTCACCCTCCAATGGCCGCCGCGGCCGGCGTGCTGCAGCCGGCACATGGCGCTGATCCGAAGCCAGGAGCCAGGTGCTTTTCCTGGTCTCCCATGCGGGTGCAGGGCCCAAGGACTTGGGCCATCCTCCACTGCACTCCCAGGCCATAGCAGAGAGCTGGCCTGGAAGAGGGGCAACCAGGACAGAATCCGGCGCCCCGACCGGGACTAGAACCCGGTGTGCTGGCACCGCAAGGTGGAGGATTAACCTATTGAGCCACAGCGCCGGCCTAAAATAAATATTCTTTTAAAAGAAAGTAATGGGAAGGGATTTAAATAATCACATCTTCACAGAAGATGGACACTTGGCCAGTAATCCCATGAAATGTGTTCAATGTCCTGGACAAATTTAAATAAAACCACAGTGAAGCACCTTTTCACATCTACTGGGATGAGCACAACGAAATGCAGGCGATTTGTGGCAATGAGTTTGTGGAGAAACCTTGTTAGTGGTCTTTTCCCAGCAGTGGTCAAACTCCAACATCCCCATTAAATTATCTGCTAAGTATGAGTGGATGTCACCTCAGGTTGTCTCCTGTTGTGTTTACGTGCCTTGCCTCTCTACTGAGCAGTCCTCGGATGTACACACGCATGCACACACATGCACACACACACACACACACATACACACTTCTGGGTTCCATAATCTACCAAGCAACTCTGTCTGCGTTGCTGTAACCTAAGGAGTCCAGCCATTTAAGTTGCAGTGACCACAGTCTTCTGCTTCCTCAGCTCAGTGGGAAAGTCATGAGCTGTGCTTGGTCTGTGCTGAGATTCTTTTTGTGCTGAGGTCGGCAACTCATCCTAGGTAAATTACAATAGAGTCAGCCTCACGTGTTCTCTGTCCTTCCTTCCGAAATGATCGTGTTCACTTTCCTGGAATTGTAGAAATCATTTCCCTCATGTTTTTACCCTGAGTTATATTTTCTTTTTTTTTTCAAATTGCTAAAATTTGATTTATTTTTCTTTTCTCTTCTCTTTTTAAATTTGTATCAATGTAAAGAGAACAGATTATCTGAATTTCATAGGTACAATTCTAGGGTAATCATTGTAAGAGGACACAGGTGGCATCATTTAATGCATGCATTTCATCGTGTCTAGAACAGGAAGTATTGTCTTTCTGTCTTTGAATAATGGAATCTCCCAATCAGTTAAAAAAATTTAAGTCCATTTCAAAAGATTTATTTATTTATTTGAAAGGCATAGTTGCAGAGACAGGTAGAAACTGAGAGAAACCTTCCATCCACTGGTTCACTCCCCAAAAGGCCACAACAGCCAGGACTGGGCCAGTCCAAAACCAGGAGCCCAGAACACCATCCAGGTCTGCAACACTGATGCAGCTGCCCAAGTACTTGGGTATTCCTCTCCTGCTTTCCCAGCTGCATTAGTAGGGAACTGGACGAGAGGTGGAGCGGTACTGACATGAACTGGCACCCATATGGGAAGACTGGGTCACAAGTGGCATCTTAACCATTGAGCCAGCCCCATGGTCAAATTTTTTAAATCCCCCCGCTCTGTTGTATTTTTGGTGAAGGGGTTCTTAAAAAGTGATGACCTCTTCAAGTGGGTGAGGCATTTTTTAAACCTGTGTTCTGGACCAGTGCTGTAACGTAAGTGGGTTAAGCAGCTGCCTGTGATGGCGGCATCCCACATGGACACGGGTTCTGACCCAGCTCCCTGCTCTTACAACTGGGAAAGCAGCAGAGGATGACCAAGTACCTGGGTCCCTGCCACGCATGTGGGAGACCAGAGTGGTGCTCTGGGCTGCTGACCTCAGCTTGTCCCAGCCCAGGTTTTTGTAGCCATTTGCAAGAACCAGCAGATGAAAGATATCTCTCTCTCTCTCTCTCTCTCAGCATTCTGCCTTTCAAATAAATCTCAAAAAATGCTCTTTATTAAAATTTAAAAACTGTTTTAGGCAATATTAATGTGTTCAAAGTAGCAGGGCACAGAAGGGAAATGATAGAATAAAAGAGACTGCAATATTTTATCACATAAGTAAGGAACGGATGCTACATACTGTTAATGACTGTATTCTCAGCGATGTGTGCATGCATTGACATGTAATGCAATTTGGGCTACAATCACAGAAAAAGCTTTTAAATTAAAAAAAAAATTCATTCTTAGTGTGTAATACTTGAACCCAAAATTTTTAAAATCCAAATTATTGTACTTTGAATGCATATTTCCGGAAGGTGATGGATACATTCATGATTACAGGTAAAAACCTGCCCTGGACCCTAACAAGACAAAGTGCTCCTAAAAAAAATGGCCTTTTGATCAGTCTCTACGTTTTTCTACCTCTCCTCATGATGACTGGCATCGTTGCTTTAAAATGGGATAAAATGAAGGAATTTTTGCTCAGAACAAACACTTTAAGTGAAGGGTAGGTAAACATTTTTATGTTTAATTTTAAAACGTATTATGGGAAGAATGGAAACAGAATTCAGGATCTTACATATAGGGATTCCAGGAGGTATAGGGTGAATTTTTAGAAGAACTGAATAAGAAAGTCCCAGACTTCAGGCACTTGGGTATCCCTCATGTTCACAGAAGCAATTGTGGCGGCTCAGGAAGTCCTGGGGCCTTTGCGGGAGCAGCCACATTGGCTGAAATTGTTTTAGGAGGTTCTGTTGACTTCCCGGGCAACACCACTGCCACTGCCCTGACACCCACCTGTGCTCGGGAGGCGAACAGACATAGTCAGGGAAGCAAATCCTGTGATCAGAACACGCAGATGGTAGACAGTAGGAAAAATAGGAGCAGGCATGGACTGAGGGAGGGAAAAGCGTGATAGCCTCCATTTTAACAATCAATGCTGTTCATGGATTTAAAATTAAAATTAAGGTACTGCTCAGCTCTTTCCTTTTTTTGTTTTTTTGTTTTTGTTTTTGTTTTTTTTGAAGATTTATTTATGTACTTGAAAGAGTTACAGAAAGAGATGGGGGAGACACACACTGAGAGACAGAGAGAGAGAATCTTCCATCTACTGATCCCTCCCCAGATGGCTGCAATGGCCAAGCCTGAGCTAGGCCCTAGCCAGGAGCCAGGAGCTTCGTGCGAGTTTCCCATGTGGTGCACAGCTGTTTCCTTCTCCATAACACCAATGCTAATCACAGTTTGCCCAGGGAATACTTAGGGAAATAAGGATGCAGAAATAAAGACAAAGAAGTAGGCCTCACTCCATGCACAAGAAAAATGGCTTTCTGTTTCCCTTAAATGCTGATGGAAACAAAATCGTGATTAACATTTCCATCAATACCTCGATTCATAAAATTAGTTAAGATAATAAAAAGCCTGCGGCACGTAGTTAAATTCAGGTTAATGTCTTATTATTTATAAAGATGTTTATATAATCAAATCAGTTTTGATGGACTTAATTGAAAAGTAGCTGGGATAAGTCTTTCTGATGTTCTTATTTAAGACATCTTGGCGGGCTGGCGTTTTGCCGCAGCAGATTAAAGCCCTGGTCTGCAGCACCAGCATCCCATATGGGTGCTGGTTCAAGTCCTGCCTGCTCCACTTCCGATCCAGCTCTCTGCTATGGCCTGAGAAAGTAGTGGAAAATGGCCCAAGTCCTTGGGCCCCTGCACTGGCATGGGGGAACTGGAAGAAGCTCCTGGCTCCTGGCTTCGGATCAGCACAGCTCCGGCCTTGTGGCCATATGTGGAGTGAACCAGAGGATGAAGACTTCTCTCTGTCTCTCCCTCTTACTCTCTGTAATTCTACCTCTCAAATACATACATAAAGTCTTTTTAAAAAAATCCATCCGAAACTCTGGCTGAATTTAGGTGCCTTTTGCACAGCTGTTCACTTTTGTCCCCAGAGAATATGCACTGAGAGAGATTGGTTGTGGGTAGAGGACTGGTGTTTTCACTGAAAACTAGTCTAAAATGTTTGGCATAGATGTGCTGAGCCAAGTGCACACAGAGCAGTCATGGTTGAGGGAATGGGCAGATCCAGGAAGAGACGATTTCAATCCCAAAGACTGATTCGTCATTTGTAACAAATGACCCCTTATTATATTTCCTTCAAGCATCTGTTCTTTGTTATCAAAGATGTCTTTTTTTTTTTAAGATTTCTTTTATTTATTTAAGACAGAGTTATAGAGAGAGGTAGAGCCAGAGAAAGAGAGGGGTCTTTTTTAAATATTTATTTATTTGAAAGGCAGAGTTGGGGGACGGTGGGACCGGAGACACATCTCCCATTCCCTGGTTCACTCCCAAGATGGCTGCAAAGGCCAGGGCTGGGCCAGGCTGAAGCCAGGACCCTGGAACTCCATCCAGGTCTCCCCTGTGGGTGCAGGGGCCCAAGTCCTTGGGCCGGCTTCAGCAACTGTCACAAGCAGATTAGCAGGGAGCTGGATCAGAAATGGAGAAGCCCCAGCAGGGATGGACCCTCACAGAGGTTGTCAGTGTCGCAGAGAGAGGCTTAGCCTACTGCGCCACAGGGCCAGCCCAGGAGGGGTTTGTGAGTACTAGTAAGGGGTTCAAACCTGTGCTCGTCATCTGTGGCCAAGGACGTCATGTAGTTGATGTCACGTAGTAGTGATCTGAAAGCCATGACCCTCGGTTTCAACATTAGCTGTGGTGTACAGTGGTCTTGCAAAGCAAACATGCAGGCTGTCTAAATAGCACAGATGTGACTAAATGTAGCTGGAAGATTTAGCTGCCAGCTTAAGGACCTCATTGGGGAAAGTGAATTGTTATCTAAATGTTTACAGAGCTACTTTAGTGAAATATTATTAGATAGGCGGTAATTGAAGAATTTTAAGGTGTATATGCAAAGTATCTTTTTTACTTGGGAATTAGGCTAGATATGATACTATTTCGGGACCAGCACTGTGGTGTAGAAGTTAAGCCACCATTTGCAGTGCTGGCATCCCATACAGGCACTGATTCGAGCCCCAGCTGCTCCACTTCTGATCCAGCTCTCTGTGTGGCCTAGGAAAGCAGTAGAGGATGGTCCAAGTCCTTGGGCCCCTGCACCCACGTGGGAGACCCGCAAAAGCTTTTGGCTCCTGGCTTCAAATCATCCCAGCTCTGGCCATTACAGCCATTTTGAGAGTGAATCAGAGGACGGAAGATGTCTCTTTCTGTCTCCCTCCCACCCCGTAACTCTGTCTCTCTAATAAATAAATAAATTTTGAAAAATGAAGATATGATAATATTTCATCCTGTTTTCAAGGTAGGCAAGAAAGGGAGTTTGTTAACCAGGATTGATTTTAGTGAATTTTTTCTCCAAACGCTTAAAATCTTTCAACGTTAGGCCAACCTGAGAAAAAAAGACAAACAGAAATATTGATACATATTCACTGATAAATTAATGCAAATTAGCTGTGTTTCCTTTTCTGTAACCCTAAGAAACAAACAGTGCTCTCTTTTATGCAGATCAACATCAGAAGAGAGCGTTCACAACACCAACAGCATCATGGAGTCCTACAGCTAAAGGTGAACTGAGGGCATCGCGTCACTGACTGTGTGATCCAGCAAAGGCTCTGATCCTCACCCACACCTCCGCTTAAGAAATCATCACTCTTGGCAAATCCTCATTTGCTAATTCCCTGTGATACACCAAAGACCACAGTAAAGCGTGAGGTGTTACTTTTGTGTTGTCGGTTTGGGATATTGAATGCTAACTCAGGTCACCCTGGCGTGTATTAAGCAACAACTTTATAAAAAAAAAAAAAAAAAAAGAAGTGAGCCTAAAGACATTTTAAATATTCTCAAAATATCTATAAGATACGTGCCCCTGCTCCTTCAAGTCAGGTCCTAATTAGTAAATTGACATAGACTGTCTCCCAGTGTTTATATTTCTTCCTCACTACGACTCCATTGCTAAGGTTACCCGTGTTCTGGAAATAAGGAAATGGGCAAAAGGAATTTCAATAACTGTTCAAGTGCACAGAGTTTTGGGGAGACTTGGAATTTAAGGCAATTGGACTCCAGAGTTTAAGCTCAAGGACAGTTTTGGCACACAGCCTAAAACTATGTCAGAGGAGGAGGGGTTGGGTCTACATTGAGCGAGGACCTCTTAGATGCCAGGCACAGTCTAAATCACCACCCCACCGTACACCAAGGCAATTCTTTATCATAGAATGGAAATCAAACCAGCATCCACATATATTTCAGAGCTGTAATTTACATATGTAAGAATATAATGGTACTTGATATGTTAGTTCTATCGCTGGGAATAATAGGAAGAAGTCTAACTTTGCACCAAGAGTGCATGATCAGGAGGCGTTCCCCCAGCTACTCACCTGCCATTGCCCTCATCTCCTCCAACTGACAGTTGTCAATGGGGATCTGCTTCCTCCTCTGTCCCTGAGCACAGGGGGCTGGAGAGCAGCAAAGCCCGTGGGTCCTTACTTTGAATTCCAAATGTCTCATCCACAATCCCAAGGCTATCTCTGTGGAAGTGCTGCATCCAGATACCCAGACTCCTTCCAAGACCAAGAAGGAGCTGTCAAACCCCAGGGGCAGAGCAAATCCGTCTTACACAGGTACCTGGCTGGCAGAAGCACCCATGCGTATATCTAGACCCCCTACATAGGAGCCAAGAATGTTTAATGGGCACCAACGAATATCAGTTTATCTGCAGCCACGTTGGCAAGAGGACTATGGTTGTGAGAGGTCAGAGAGGGAAGCTGGGATAGGATCGTGGAGGTCTTGAAGGCCCTCTGACGTTTTACAGTGAGTGAGAGGACTCACTGGGGGAACAGAGACCAGTGCCTGCCCTACACTCACAAGGACTTTCCTCTACAGAAAAAAGACCAGTCAGCTTAGTGGGAACCCTTCCCTAGTCCCCTATTTTATCACATACTGACATCTTTCTTTTTGTAAAAAAAAAAAAAAAAAAAAAAAAAAAAAAAAAAAGATTTTATTTATTTATTTGAGAAGCAGAGTTACAGACAAAGAGAGACAGAGAGAAAGATCTTCCATCCTCAGGTTCACTCCGTAAAATGGCCGCAATGGCTGGAGCTGGGCTAATCTGAAGCCAGGAGCCAGGAGCTTCTTCTGGGTCTCCCATGCCGGTGTAGGGGCCCAGGTACTTGGGCCAACTTCCACTGATTTCCTAGGCCATAGCAGGGAGCTGGATCAGAAGAGGAGCAACCAGGACATGAAATGGCACCCATATGGGATGCTGGTCCTGCAGGCAGAGGCTTAGCCTACTATGTACAGTGCTGGGCCCAACTTACATTTTCTTTCCCTCTGTTTCCTAGTGGGTGATCTTTGTATACGAAGTTCCTAAGGGTCAGTTTATAGTGTTTCCTTTTCATGTGGTTATTGCAAACCATTCACGAGAAAGAAGCTGTGCCTTCCAAAAGTGCTTTACAAATTTCACAAGCACCAGTTTCAGCATGAGCAGTGGGTTTGTGTGTGTGTGTGTGTGCACGTTTTGTCTTGTTTTGTACTGAGTAGCTGCTACACCTGTAGATGACTAAGACAGCTCTGAACTCTGAAGAGCGAGCATCTCTCTGCTTCTGTACTTCCCTCACGGCCACTAAGCAAGAGCACCAGAGGCATCAGCTGGAGAAAGGGTACGACCCAGACGCTCACGGCTCACTGCCTGGACTCAAGAAACAAACTTCCTGTTGTGGCCTCAAGTATTTGATTTCAGCAACACAAATAAACCCTGTGACTCAAAGTGCACAGGCTGCTGTCCGTGGTTCCGGTGCGGTCACAGACCTTCACCGGGAAGTAAGCAGCTTTGCCCTGGAAGCTGCTGCAGCCCCAGGCGGGAAACAACGCCTTGTCCACTGCTGCCCGCCCCAGGTGCCCTTGGCCATGGTGACCCTGCACCTCTCCAACAGCTCTCCCAGGCTGTGGAGCATGCAGTGGGAGCGTCACCGGGTCGCGGCATCTCCAGAGCCCCAGATGGTCCTGCCATCTGCTGTATCTACAAGGATGGCCCTAGGTGGGTCCTTGCTCACGGATCTCTGTTCCGTCTCCAGGTGGTGCCTCCTGGGCCCCATGTAAACTGAGACTCGAAGTGCTCGCTTGTCTTTGGGGACCCCACACTTGCTGCTCTGTCTTCACTGAGCTGAGCTTCCCTGGGTAGGCTTTCCTTGCTGCAGTCTCCCTCTCCCACCCCCTCCTGCTGGGTGCCACAGAGCATTGCACCCCGAGTGCAGCCAGGACCTGCAGGGTCTCCGTGCAAAGGCAGAGTCTCCTGGGAGAGAGGCGGGAGGACCGCACTGCCGAGGCTCATCCGTCCTTTCCAAAAGTCCATCAGCTGACGGTGGATGAGAAATAGTGGCACATGCATTCCACGTAGCAGCTTCCGCCATCCCATGGGACCAGGCCTTGCTTGAGACTTAAAACCACTGCACCCAGTGAATAAAGCCAGGCGCCCAGACCACGTGCACCATCCATTGGTATGAAACGGGCAAACAGGGCCACTTCTGGACAGAAAAATGGGTTTAGGAGTTGTTGAGGGCCGGGATTGTAGATGGACAGAGGGTAGAGCAGATTGGAGACGGGGTTTATGGAGAAAGGGCGCAGTGTTTGTTTTCTGAGGTGAAAAAGCTAAATGGAGTAGTGGCTGCACATATCTGTCTGAACTAAAATCTGTTTGAAATTATCCCTTTAATTTTTATTGTTTGAGAAGCAGAAAGACAGGGCAACCTCCCATCTGCTGGTTCACTCCCCACAGGCCCCTGGACTTGGGAGCACCATCAGGACAGGAACTATGCTGCAACAGGTGATGCAGGGGCCGGAAGTGGTGACTTCACCGCCAGGCCAAATGCCCAGTCCCAGTTGTAGTCAGTACACCAGTGAACTTGAGGTAACTGATTTACATCTCAACCATTTGTTTTAAAAACAAAGAAAACTACTAGTTGGGATGGCTGTACCACAACTGACCCTCATACCCACCACCACTACCTTATCTGGGGCCGTGTGCTCTCCGGCCTGCCCTGTTTAAAACACGTGGGAGGTGTCAGCTCCCCTGTGTTCCAATACCTGGCAGGGGCAGGTCCCGTCTTGCACAGACACACCTGCAGCAGAGAGGTAGCCGGGTGGGCCCCAGGGTGACTGGGGGTGGGACCACATTGGTCTGAATGTCGGGGGGGGGGGGCTTAGGGACTCTGCCCACAGTGGTGTCAGTGGGGCCCTCCTTGTCTTGCTGTCCCATCTCTGCAGCTTCTCAGCAGGAGCTTAGAGTAACTGCTGACACAGCAGGTGGCTTGCACTTGCAAGCTGTCCTGTGTCTCTGTGGTGGTGCTGTAACCAAGCTACACAGGTGCAGAGGAGTGCTTTGTCAATGCCTCACCAAGACCCAACCCTGTAGTCTGATTTCCCCTCAAGCGCAAAGGGAATGGCATCAGGAGTCCCAGGCAGGAAATTGCCACTAATAACAGTGACAACTGCTGGCCCACCACAGTAGGTAAAGCCTTCCAGGGAACACAAAGGACTTCCAAGCCCCACCCTGGAGAGGGAAAGCTCGCCTCTGGGCCCTAATTCACTCCGGAGGAGTCTCCACAGTTCACACCTTTTTAGGACAAATCAGTGGTGCACAGACGGCTTTGCCATGTCTGCTGGTTCCACTCCCTGCCCCATGGAGTCCACAGAGCTACCGGGGGTCCGCAGCCCCCCTGCTCCCAGGCCCCGGGCGCAGCGCGCTGTCGTCCCAAGTGGCCCAGCGCCTGCCCGCGAGCCAAGGGCAGGCCCAACGGTCCTGGTCCTGGGCTGAGCTCCCTGCGCCCCGCCCAGCCATGTTCCTTCTCTTGGCGCTGATCGCTGGGCTTGGAGAGCTGCGCGCCCGTCAGGGTAGGTCCTCGGGCCCTCCCTTGCCTGCTCCTGGGCTGCGGATAGGGCTGGGTTCCGCCCCCCATGGCCTTCCCTGGGTCCCCCTGCTGGAGTCTCCTCCCTGTCACCCCGCGCCCCAAGAGACGGAGCAAGGGCGCACGGAGGCGTCTGCTCTGGGCCTGGCGGCCCGGCTCTGCGGGGGGAAGTACGGGTGCGGAGTGGCCCTCAGGGCCCTGAGCTGCACCCGCAGATTTCGCGGGTGGATGGTTGGATGGTTGGGTGTGTGGTTTGCCAGGAGGGGCCCCTGGACACCCAGGGCCAGCTGTGCGTGGGCAGGAGCGCGGGGCCACAAGCACAGCGCTGCTCGCCGCGTTACTTCCACTGTGCACGCCTCACGGGAGCGAGGCCTGACTCGGAAAGGCCGGGAGACCCCGCAGCCAGCCCTGTTCTTCCTGCAGATGCGGGGGGCGTCTTCCTGCGCGTCACGGTTCCGCGGCGGCTGAGGCCCGCGCAGAGTGCAGCCCCCGGGAGGACGGTGAGTGTGGAGGCGGCGCGGCGGGCGTGCGGAACGCGGAGGCGGCGCGGACGCCACGCGTGGGCAGGCGGCGCCGCGGTCTGTGGGCTCCGGCCGAGCGCGCAGTTGTCGCGGCGCCGCTTCCCTGGCCCTCGCAGGTCTCTCCTTACGCCCTGCTCCCTCACCATGCTAAGTCCTGAAGCCTCTGACCCTCCACGCCTGGGAGCCTCACAGGGAGTCAGCAGGACACGCGCCTGTGTGCGTGGCGGACTCCAGTCTGCACTCTCACAACCCAGTGCTGGCTCCCAGGAAAGGACGGCATGGCTGGACCTAGGCAAAATTTTGGAGTTTGGAAGCATCACAGTCTGTAGTAATATGCAAAGGACAAAAGAAAGAAAAAGGAAAACTAAAAAAGGCTGTATGTGCCCACTGTGCTAAAAATAAAATGGCACAAATAATGTAAATTAAATAAATTACAAATATGTAAGTATATTGAATATAATGTATATATTAATACGCATTAAATAATGTATATTAAACTTTATACATTACAAATATACATTTATATTTCTTACATTACAAATATATACTTATACACAGTAAATAAGTAATGTAAATTAAATACACTAAGTACAAAATAGAATTTGTGACTATTAACCGGTAAGTGCTTTTTTGCTGTACAAAGAATGATTATATTGGAGGCAATTGATCTTGAATATTTTCTAGAATACAATACTTAGCACAATTAAAATTTTTCACATTGCAAACTTAAAGTAACAATACTGGAGTTTAGATTTCCATGTGGTTAAAATGATGAGATGTGGGGCCAGCACCGTGGCGCAGTAGGCTAATCCTCTGCCTGTTGCACTGCCATCCCATATGGGCACAGGTTCTTGTCCCAGCTGCTCCACTTCCGATCCAGCTCTGTTGTGGCCTGGGATAGCAGTAGAAGATGGCCTAAGTCCTTGGGACCCTGCACCTGCTTGGGAGACCGGGAGGAAGCTCCTGACTCCTGGCTTCGGATCGGTGCAGCTCTGGTTGCTGTGGCCGATTAGGGAGTGAACCAGTGGGAGGAAGACACCTCTCTCTCTCTCTCTCTCTCTCTCCCTCTCACTGTCTGTAACTCTACTTCTCAAATAAATAAATAAAGTCTTTTAAAAAAATAAAATGATGAGATGAATATGTTATTCCTACATATTTTTTCACATTGAAGGAGCAAATTTGAAAATAAGAGTAAGGAAAAATTAAAAACCATTAACAGTTTGGCATACAATATTAAGAATCTACCATGAACAATATTGGAACTTACCTAATGAACAGTTACAGTAAAATAAATAAAATATATGTGAAATTGTGTTGCAAAATTACAATGAGATAAATAATTTCCTTCCAGAGGTGCTGTAAAGTATTTTCATGTAACAATTCTCACACTAAGTCTCTTAATTAGGATGTAGCTAGGAGGGTGGCTGTGGCTATGGCTATATATGTATATGTATAATATGTTGATAAAGATGTATTTTATGTATTCTCTGATTCATATACATGTACATTTTTTTCCAGAAAGGAAATTAGAAAATGTTAGGGACATAAAATCTTGAAGTGTCAGCACATAGATTCTGAATTTTAATATTGATTACAATTCCACTGCAATAAGGTGTTCTCTGTGGAAAGATTCTTTGTCAGTTATTTTCTTCCAATCTTTTACTGTGATACATTACAACTGAGTGATCACTTTAGCCTTCACATTGCTTACTCCTTGTCAGGAGACATACAGCTAGAAGACTTCTGAATATTCACACTACAAAGAAACCTTGACAATGTGAAGCAATGGATGCTCACTATCCTAATATGATCATTAAAATGTATGCATGTATCAAAATATTTTACATTGTACCACTTAAATAGGTACAATTACTGTTGGTCAGTAAATTAAAAAATAATAAAATAAAATAAAAAATAAGAGACATATAGCAACATTGCAGGATGTGAAATGCTGTTACTACAGAAAACATGAAGAGATAAGTGCTTGTCTTTTATTTTGCTGTTATTTATGTGGCATTATCGATACGAATTTTACAATAAGAAAATACTTTCTGATGTCATATATTGGTATAACTGATATAAAATGTAATTATCTAATGTATGCATTGCCAGAGACCAGCACCAGCCAGTCCAGGGGCCCCAAGGTGTGAGAGGTGTCGGCGCACGAAGAAATGAGAGACACTCACAGCAAGGCCCATGGCATGGCTCTGGCTCTCGGGCACCAGACTTTATTTTTATATCGTAAGTCACATAATGATTCTTTTTTCTCACAATAACAAGTCTGTTGTCCATTTTTTTCTAATTACAATTTCTTTGATTTTCAAGGGCACATTCAGAGCATGGGTTACAATCACAGACAGGTGCGAGAAATGGGCTGCCCACACAAGCCAAAGCCTGGAGTGCTGCTGAGCTATGCAGAAATTGGCTACACAAGCTAGAACAGTACCTTCCTAATCTAATCTTTACCAGAAGGCCCAAGTTCAAAGCAGGCCCTTTTTAAAATGTATCCCCTCTCTGCAGTTCTTTCTGTAATTCTTTAATTTCTTTATTGCACTTATTTAAGGTTCTCTGAGATCTACTCCACAGTTTTGACATCCTAACCATTGCTGTATTTGTAGCACATATTGAATTAAAGCTTTAATGACATTTACCTTTGTTCTAGTGGGAAGTATACACCAAGGAGCCTGTTGCCTTTTAATTCTTTTCCACAAGCAGCTCAACCTTGCATAAAGCATCACCCCTTCTCCTACACTAACATTCTGCTTGATTAAAATTCTACAAAACGATGGACATTTTGGGGATTATGAGACTAAGCGTTCTTCCCTACAATTAGGAATGCAGCAATCAGTAGCAGGACCACCAGGAAGCTCCGGCTTTCTTATGCAGAGTGCAGTTCCCAACAAACCTAAAACCACCCAGAGGACCGCAGCTGTCCTGCTCAGGCCTTGCTGAGACAGACCTGCTGTGTCCTTGTCAGCCAGCAGAAGTTGCTTTGGCCTCGCCAATGCATTTTGATGAGTTTGTACACACACTCGCCATGACACCATCACCACAATCACTGTCCTGAACTAATTCCCCTCAAAAATGTCCTTGTGTTCTGTTCAGTCATTCTGCGGCAAGAACGTGAAATGTATCAACACCATGTTCTCAACTTGCAGAGTACTAGAAATTATTCGTGATGAATAACTGAAACCTTAGATCCCTTGAGCAACCATGTCCTCTTTCCCCATTCCCCAGCCCCTGGTAACGGCCATTCGATTCTCTTCTGCAAGTGTGGTCATTCAGAGACCTTATGTAAGTGTAATCCAGTGTGTGTTGCGTTCTGTAACTGGTTTACTTAGTTTAGCATTATGTCCTGTAGGTTCATCCTTGTTTCAAATGCTAGAGGCTCCTTTCTTATCTAAGGCTGAATAATATGCCATTATATGTGACTATCACATTCTCTGTATGGAAATTCACCCGCCAGGAAATTAGATTCTTCTCATCTCTTGGATATTGTGAGTACTGCGGCAATGAACGTGAGACTGCAGAGGTTGTTTTGACAGAGAGATTTCAGGTCCGTAGGATATACCCAGTAGTGGATCACTAGATCGCATGGGTAAGTCTATTTTTGGTTTTCCAAAATGGCTGTACTAATTTACATACCACACACAGTGCACAGAGCGCCCTCTTCTCCACACACTCACCAGTATTTGCTATCTTTTGTCTTTGGGATGATAACTGACCTAACTGGAGTGAAATGAAAGCATAGTGTGTTTTCGATTTTCATTTTCCTGGTAATCAATGATGCTGAGCACTGTTTCATGTACCTTTTTGTCGTTTGTATGTCTTCCTTTGAGAAGTGTCTGTTTGGATCCACTTCTCATTTGGTCATAGTATGAGGCTTTATTGAGTTTGAGTTCTTATTTACTCTGATTATTAACTCCTTGTAGATGTGTAGCTTGGAAATATTTTTCTTCACCCTGTTGTCTCTTTAATTTGTTGATGGTTCCTTTGCTGCACAGAAGATTTTTAGATTGATGAAATCCCATTCATATATTTAAAAAAAAAATTTTTTTTGATGCTCTTTTGGAATCTTATCCAAAATCCTTGTACATCCCAAAGTCTGGAAGTCTTTTCCCTAAGTTGTCTTCCCGTATTTTCAGTTTCAGGTTCTCCATTAAGATCTTCATCTATTTTGTGTTGATTTTGGTTTTGGGGTCTAGAATCATTCTTCTTGTGGATATCCAGTCTATTGAAAGCCCGTCACTTATCCAGTGTATTTTCTTATCTCCTTTGTCAAAGATCTATTGGCTGTTGATGCTTGGGTTTACATTAAGAGTCTATATTCTGTTTCATTGATCTACATTTCTGTTTTAAAACCAATAAAGGGCTGTTTTGATTAGTGTAGCTGTATTTTCTAGCTAGACTATTGTCTTCATTTTTTATTTGTTGAACTCTTTATTTAATGGAGCCAACAATCCTTTGACTATAATGTAAATTAAAATGTTAACTCAAAAATAATAAAATATTTTAAAATTACCATAGTTTCATAGTATATTTTGAATGACAGGTAGTGTAATGCTTCCTTTATTATTCTTTTTGCTAAAAATGTCTTTGGCTATTCAGAGTCTTTTGTAGTTTCACATGAATTTCACTAGTGTATTTTCTGGTTTTGTGAAAGGTATTCTGATAGGGCACACAGGAAATCTGTAAATCACCATGGGCAGCATGGTCATCTTGGTCATCTAAATGATACAGATTCTCCCAATATGTGGACATGAAAATTTTTTCATTGCTTTATGTCTTCAATTTCTTTCATCAATGATTTATAGTTTTAATTATAGAACTATTTTACCTCCCTGAGTAACTTTTTCCCGAGGTATTTAATTTATTTGTTTTTGTTTTTAAAGGAATTTAGCATTTATTTTGTAATATATAAATACAGCCCAAACGCCAGAAGAATAAACCAGTGATGTCAAAGATCGGTTCCAAGTCAG